TTCAGTAGACATAAAAATATATACTCATTAGTATGCTTTATGCTGGTAGCTGCCTTAAATGGGCTAGACCCTACTGGTTTCTTACATCTGTGATGTATTACTTAGGATTTTTAAATTCTGAGATCCTTCTACAGAAAGCATGATATAAACCAATTATTTTGAACCTTATATTTATTATTTTATAATAGTAGTTATATTTTTACCTCTACAATACTGTGCAGCTTTCATTTAAATTATATGCCTTGGAATTACTTATCTTCTAATGAGAAGTTCTGTTTTAAGCTTACTACATTTTAAAACTTGAACCTTAAAAATATAATTAACTCTGTACTGATCATCTAATTACAGGGTATGTGCACCAGAAGAAACCACATTTCACCTCCTACACTTATCTTTAATGAGAGAGTATATTGACTATGAGTTTTCAGTATTAAAAGTAAGTATTGATATAACTGTGGACTAAAGATATGTATGCAGAAGTTTCCATACAACTTAACTTTTTTTCTGTTTTGCTATAGGACGAGATCACATTTAAATATGATATTGAAAGGGTAATAGATGATTGGATTTTGATGGGATTTCTTGTTGGTAATGATTTTATCCCTCATCTACCTCATTTACATATTAACCATGATGCACTGCCTCTTCTTTATGGAACATATATTACCATCCTACCAGAACTTGGGGGTAAGAAAAGTTTATTATTCATTTAAGGCTACTTTAATTTAGCACTCAACTAAACCTGAAAATGTTATTAGATCATTGCATGCGCAGTTAAGTTGGAAAAAACTGTTGTTTCATTTGGTTTAAGACACCAAGCTCTGAGGTTCTAATTTTCAGTGGTTCACACGCAAAGAAAATGATGAGTGTTAAGCAGCCTCCTGATTTATTGTTACCTAACTAATCTCCACCTTTAATTGCTTAACAAAGCCAGCAGAAGATTTTGGTTTCACTTAGCTCCTTTCATATTTAAGCATAGAAATTCAATTTTTTTCTGAATGGATAAGCATCAGAGTATTTAATATGAAGGAAAGGTTTATCAATTAAAATAGGAAATTAACAAACAATGGTAGATGCTGAACAAAATAGGCAGCAGAGTAGCAAGAATTGGTCCTTTACGTCTCGAGTTAATATATCAAATGAATGATCTCGATAGATTCTGGAATATATTTAATTTGAATGGTGGAGAAGTAGGAGGATTATTTTAATATGAACCTGGAATTTTTTGTATTTTGCTTCATTTCTTACATATTCTATATCATAGTAACATCAAGGTCATAGAAACTAGGACCAGTTTTAAGGCCCCGCACTGAGTGTTTTTTCTTTATTAGTAGAATGTCAACATTCAACATTTTGTAAAAAGAATTTTATAGAATTGCTGAGAAAACATGTCAGTTTTCAGTACAAATTTAGATTCTGTTCCTTTTAGGTTACATTAATGAAAGTGGGCATCTTAACTTACCTCGATTTGAGAAATACCTTGTGAAACTATCAGATGTAAGTAATTAGAAGTTTTTGTTTTCTTGTTCCAGGGTAGCTATAAATGGCCAGAAAACTAACTATGTAATACTAGAAGAAAAACTTTGTAATCTTACTCCATTTGGTCATTTTTTATTTTTATTTGATTTTTATTTTTAATTTTCAGAGTAGTAGATGAGGTACCCATGTGCATAAAAAAGTAACTTTCTCTGATTTCCTATGCCCCAGAAGTAGTCACTGTTAAAAGTTTGGTTTGTATTCTTCCATACATACTTAATTATTTTTAAATGAATTTAAATACTTCTGTACAGTTTGATCGAGAGCACTTCAGTGAAGTTTTTGTGGACCTAAAGTGGTTTGAAAGCAAAGTCGGTAATAAGTACCTCAATGAAGCAGCAGGTATTGCAGCAGAAGAAGCCAAGAACTACAAGGAAAAGAAAAAGTCAAAGGTGTCCATATTTTTCTGTGTCCTTTCATTTTTTTAGCTGTAAGTGTAAAACTGATAATCCTTTTCTCATTTCCCCTCTTATAATTTTAGGGTAGCCTCATTTAATTTTCATTTATTTGTTTCCTCTATGGGCATTTAAAAAATTGTTTTTTTCTCTTTTTCTCTGTTATATCCTATCATTTAAATCTGATCTTTAAACATTAATTTCTTTTTTTTTCCTTGAAGAACATTGTGTTTCTTTACTCTTCCATTCTGTTAATAAGTATAGAAAACTTTCTAAATAGAACAGCCCAGAAAATTAGTTATCTTTCTAAAAGTGGGGATATTTGGGTAGCATTTAATGTTATAAGACATTAACTAGTGATTTTTCTCCAGAAATAATTTGCCTATAAAACCATGTATAAAATAAAGCAATAGACTAGGTTAAGAGTAATTAATAACACAATATCTAGTAAATATTAGGTGCTCAATAAAAGAATCTGTTAGAATATGTTAGTGTTCTGTAAAAACATCTCTAATAACCTCTAAAGAATATGATATATGTTAGCTTGGAAAATAAACCTCTACTGAAATTTTCCTCAACCTATCTGTAATTATTAGATGCTGGTGAAATTAATGCATTTCCTGTTCTGTCCTTGCTGTACTGATTCTATTTAGGTTCAAGCCTAATAACTCTTGCTCCTGGAAGGGCAGTTGTCCTAATTTTCTCTAGCACAGTCCTAAATGCTCAGCTTTTCCTCAGAGGAACTTAGCAAAAATCCGTCTGCATTCTATGCTGTGCCTTTTCTCTTAAGAAAACAGGCTCTGCAACTTTTGAGGACCTGTACTCACAAAACTTAGAAATTAATAATCCCTGGCTCTGCCCACCTCAGCTCAGTTTACGTTAAGCTTCACAAGTCTTCTAAGCTTCTATGGTTAACATTAGAGACTCTGGTAAAATGAGAGGAGCTGGGGGAATAGCCCAGGTACAGGAAGTTGGCAGAGGCCCTAGTTTGGATGAAGTAAAGGAAATGGGAATAGGAAGTAGGAAGAACTACTAAGAGTCACTGGCAACAGATAAGCAGGCAGACAATAGGGGAGAGAAAGGATGAGATCACAAGGGAGAAAAAACAGATGGGCAAGATATGAAGGATGAAAGATGGAAGAACTATAGAAAAACAAATGAGTTGCATGGAAAAAAAATTAAGTGGAGGATAGATAATGGAATTATAAGAATAATGGGATCTGGAGATACAGAAAGTAGGTACTATTTTTAATCATTGGATTCACTCAAACAGAAAGTATTATTAACAGTAGTCTAGAATTTGACATAAAAATGTTGAAGTTGATAAATTATAAAAGGATTTGATATTGTGTACTTTCCTCTAATAAATGAAATATTCTTGGTGTTTTTTTCTTGGAGCACATATACAATTAAATATATTTCTCTTTTATATCAGTGAGAATACTTATGACATATTAAAATATTTAAAAATAAGAATTACTTATTACATATTTTTCAGAGTACTAAATTCTACATATAAAAATATAGCTTTATAAAACAAATACATAAAACCAAAAACTTTTACACCATGTTTGAGGATTAGTGTTTTTTTTGAGGATTAGTTTTAAAAAAACTTTTATAGTATGTCACTTAAGGATCATTCAGTGATTTTTAGTAGTTTCTAAATTTCATTTAAACATCTCACTTTGAAATATATCTTGCCATTAATCTTACATTGATATATAATTTTTATAGGGCCAGGAAAATTCCTTATGTTGGGCTGCTTTAGACAAAAATGAAGTGGTCAATTCTAAGGGTGAGTACAAACTATGTTTTTTAATGTATGCTATTTTTTTGACAAAATAGGTTTTATATCTTTATTAGTACTGAATCAGTAATATTGGATAGAACAGATTTCTGTAATAGTTTATAAGTATCTGCCTTAATATATATTTATCAAGGCATTAGGTGGAAAAATAGAATATTCATAATTGTCAGCTATTGTCTTTCTGCCTTTTTTTCCAGATAACTTAGAAGATGAAACTGAAGATGATGACCTATTTGAAACTGAGTTTAGACAATATAAAAGAACATATTACATGACAAAGATGGGAGTTGACTTAGTATCTGAGTACGTTTTTGCCAATGCTATTTCTTTAAAATAGAAAAAATTAGATTTTTCAGTTCTTCAAAAAACACTATAAATGTAATAGTTTAAAAGGTAGTGGGGAAAGAAGAATTTTTTGGTTTCATAAATTACTGTAGATCTTTGAATTTAGTATAGTTTTGGAGAAAGTGATATTGACTGGACATGTGTTACATTCTAATGATTAAAAAGCTCAAATAAAAAATGGTTAACTTTTTGCTCCCCATCTTCTAAAGGTCACATCACATGTATCTCAAAAGTCACTTGGCTAATTGGCAGATTAATACCTACTCCAAAAGTTCCTTAAGAACTTGACTTCAGCAATCGTGGATTTCACACTTTTAAACTGCAGCCTGCAATATAAACTACATTTGTTCATATTTTATTTTAGTTAACACTTATAAATTGCTTACCAAGGGCCAGGTACTATTCTAAACATTTAAAAAATGCTGATTTAATCTTTTTTAAAAATTCTGATATCATTGATATACAATCTTATGAAGGTTTTACATGAGCAACATTGTGGTTACTGCATTCACCCTTATTATCAAGTCCCCCGCCACCCCACTGCAGTCACTATCCATCAGTGTAGTAAGATGCTGTAGAGCCACTACTTGACTTCTCTGTGCTATACTGTCTTTTCCGTGAACCCCCTACATTATGTATGCTAATCATAATGCCCTTTAATTCCCTTCTCCCCTTACCACCCAGTCTCCCATACTTCTTCCCTTTGGAAACCACTAGGTCCCTTCTTGGAGTGTGTGAGTCTGCTGCTGTTTTGTTCTGTCAATTTTGCTTTGTTGTTATACTCTACAAATGAGTGAAATCATTTGATACTTGTCTTTCTCCACCTGGCTTATTTCACTGAGCATAATACCCTCTAGGTCCACCCATGTTGTTGCAAATGGTAGGATTTGTTTTTTACTTATGGCTGAAAAATATTCCATTGTATATATTTACTACCTCTTCTTTATCCATTCAGCTACTGATGGACACTTAGGTTGATTCCATATCTTGGCTATTGTGAATAGTGCTGCGATAAACATAGTGGTGCAGATGTCCTTTTCAGTCTGGATCTTGTTTTCTTTGGGTAAATTCCTGGGAGTTGAATTCCTGGGTCAGATGGTACTTCTATTTTTAGTTTTTTGAAGAACCTCCATATTGCTTTCCACAATGGTTGAACTAAATTACATACCCACCAATAGTGTAGGAGGGTTCACTTTTCTCTGCATCCTTGCCAGCATTTGTTGTTTATCTTTTGGATGTTGGTCATCCTAACTGATACATTGTGGTTGTAATTTGCATTTCCCTGATAATTAGCCATGTGGAGCATTTTCATTGCCTGTTGGCCATCTGAATTTCTTCTTTGGAGAAATGTCTGTTCAGATCCTCTGCCTATATTTAATCAAGTTGTTTGCTTTTTGGGTGTTGAGGTATATGAGTTCTTTATAAATTTTGGATGTTAACTGCTTGTCAGAAATATTGTTAATGAATATATTCTCCCATATCATAGGATGCCTTTTTGTTCTACTGATGGTGTCCTTTGCTGTACAGAAGCTCTTTAGTTTGATGTAGTCCCATTTGTTCATTTTTGCTTTTGTTTCCCTTGCCCAAGAACATGTGTTCAGGAAAAAGTTGCTCATGTTTATATGCAAGAGATTTTTGCCTATGTTTTCTTCTAAGAGTTTTATGGTTTCATGACTTACATTCAGGTCTTTGGTCCATTTAGAGTTTACTTTTGTGTGTGGGGTTAGGCAATAATCCAGTTTCATTCTCTTGCATGTAGCTGTCCAGTGTTGCCAACACCAGTTGTTGAAGAGGCTGTCATTTCCCCATTGTATGTCCATGGCTCCTTCATTGTATACTAATTGACCATATATGTTTGGGTTTGTATCTGGGCTCTATTCAATCCTCTGATCTATGGGTCTGTTCTTGTGCCAGTAACAAATTGTCTTGATTATTGTGGCTTTGTAGTAGAGTTTGAAGTTGGGGAATGTAATTCCCCCAGTTTTATTCTTCCTTTTCAGGATTACCTTGGCTATTCGGGGTCTTTTGTGGTTCCATATGAATTTTAGAACTACTTGTTGTAGTTTGTTGAAGAATGCTGTTGGTATTTTGACAGGGATTGTATTGAATCTGTAGATTGCTTTTAGCAGGATGGCCATATTGACAATATTAGTTCTTCCTATCCATGAGCACAGGATGTATTTCCATTTATTGATATCTTCTTTAATTTATCTCATGAGTGTCTTATAGCACGTCTTCTACCTCCTTGTTTAGGTTAATTCCTAGTTATTTTATTCTTTTAGATGCAATTGTAAATGGAATTGTTTTCCTGATTTTGCTCTCTGCTAGTCCATCATTAGTGTATATAGGAATGACACAGATTTCTGCATATTAATTTTGTATACTGCAACTTTGCTGAATTCTGTTATTAGTTCTAGTAATTTTGGTGTGGATTCTTTAGGATTTTTTATGTACAATGTCATGTCATCTGCAAACAGTGACAGTTTGACTTCTTTCTTACCAATATAGTTGCCTTTTATTTCTTTGTGTTGTCTGATTGCCGTGGCTAGGACCTCCAGTACTATGTTGAATAAAAGTGGGGAGAGTGGGCATTCTTGTCTTGTTCCTGATTTAGAGGAAAAGCTTTCAGCTTCTCGCTGGTAAGTATGATGTTGGCTGTGGGTTTGTCATATATGGCCTTTATTATGTTGAGGTACTTGCCCTCTATACCCATTTTGTTGAGAGTTTTTATCATGAATGGATATTGAATTTTGTCAAATGCTTTTTCAGCATCTATGGGTATGATCATGTGATTTTTGTCCTTTTTGTTGATGTGGTGTATGATGTTCATGGTTTTTGAATATTGTACCGTCCTTGCATCCCCGGAATAAATCCTACTTGATCATGATGGATGATCTTTTTTTGAATTCGGTTTGCTAATATTTTGTTGAGTACTTTCACACTTGCGTTCATCAGTGATATTTGTCTATATTTTTCTTTTTTTGTGGTGTCTTTGCCTTGTTTTGGTATTGATGCTGGCCTCATGGAATGAGTTTGGAAGTATTTCCTCCTTTTCTACTTTTGGGAAAATTTTGAGAGCGTATTAGGGCTTCTCTGAATGTTTGATAAAATTCAGTGGTTAAGCCATCTGCATCAGGACTTTTGTTCTTAGGTAGTTTCTTGATTACCAATTCAATTTCATTGCTGGTAATTGGTCTTCAGATTTTCTGTTTCTTCCTAGGTCAGTCTTAGAAGGTTGTATTTTTCTCAAAGTTGTTCATTTCTTTTTAGATTATCCAGTTTGTTAGCGTATAATTTTTCATAGTGTTCTCTAATAATTCTTTGTATTTCTGTGGTATCTGTAGTGAGTTTGCCTTTCTAATTTCTGATTATATTTATGTGTGTAGACTCTCTTTTTTTTTGATAAGTGTGGTTAGAGTGTTTATCTATTTTGTTTATTTTTTCAAAGAACCAGCTCCTGGTTTCATTAATTCTTTCTATTGTTTTATTCTTCTCAATTTTCTTTACTTCTGCTCTGATCTTTATTGTGTCCCTCCTTCTACTGACTTTGAGCCTCATTTGCTCTTCTTTTTCTAGTTTCATTAAGTGTGAGTTTAGACTGTTCATTTGGTATTGTTCTTCTTTCTTGAGGTAAGCCTGTATTGCAGTATACTTCCTTCTAAGAATGGCCTTTGATGTGTCCCACTGATTTTGGGGTGTTGTTTTCATTTGTCTCCTTACATTGCTTGATCTGTGTTTTTTTAGGTCATTAATCCATTGATTATTTAGGAGCATATTGTTAAGCCTCCATGTTTGTGGGCTTTTTTGTTTTCTTTGCATAACTTATTCCTATTTTTATACCATTGTGATCTGAGAAGCTCATTGGTACAATTTCAATCCTTCTGAATTTACTGAGGCTTTTTTTGTGTCATAGTATGTGATCTATTCTGTAAAATGTTCCATGTGCACTTGAAAAGAATGTGTTTCCTGCTTCTTTTGGGTGGAGTGTTCTATAGATGTCTGATAGGTCCATCAATTCTAATGTGTTGTCCAATGCCTCTGTCTCCTTGCTTATTTTCTGTCCAGTTGATTTGTCCTTTGGAGTGAGTTGGTATATTGAAGTCTCCTAAAATGAATGCATTGCATTCTATTTCCCCCTTTAATTTTGTTGGTATTTGTTTCACATGTGTAGGTACTTCTATGTTGGGTGCATAGATATTTATGATGATTAAATCCTCTTGTTGGATTGACCCCTTTATCATTATTTAATGTCCTTCTTTGTCTCTTGTGACTTTCTTTGTTTTGAAGTCTATTTTGTCTGATATAAGTATACTGCAACTCCTGCTTTTTTCTCCCTATTATTTGCATGAAATATCTTTTCCATCCCTTCACTTTTAGTCTATGTGTGTCTTTGGGTTTGAATGAATCTCCTGTAGGCAGCATATTCATGAGTCTTGTTTTTATATCCATTCTATAACTCTATATCTTTTGGTTGGTGCATTCAGACCATTTACATTTAGGGTGATTATTGATAGATATGTACTTATTGCCATTGCAGGCTTTAGATTCGTGGTTACCAAAGGTTCAAGGGTAACTTCTTAAGTGTCTAACAGTCTAACTTAACTCATTATTTAGTACTCTATTTCAAGCACAATATAAAGGTATTTTTTTCTTCCGTGTTTTTCTTCTTCCTCCATTCTTTATATATTAGTTGTCATATTTACTCTATGAGTATCTCTTGACTGACTTTGTGGGTTGTTGATTTGATTTTGCATTTGCTTCATAATTAACTGGTCTACTTCCTTTACTGTGGTTTTATTTTTTCTGGTAACAGCTATTTAGCCTTGCAGCACTTCTATCTATAGCAGTCACTTTAAAATACACTCTAGAGACAGTTTGTGGGAGGTAAATTCCCTCAACGTTTGCTTATCTGGAAATTGTTTAATCCCTGTTTCTAATGTAAATGGTAAACTTGCTGGGTAGAGTATTTCTGGTTGGAGGCTCTTCTGTTTCATTGCATTAAATATATCATGCTACTCCATTCTGGCCTGTAAGGTTTCTTCTGAGGAGTCTTATGATAGCGATGGGTTTTCCTTTTTACGTGCTCTTTTTTCTCTCTCTGGCTGCTTTTAATACTCTGTCCTATTTCTTGATCTTCGCCATTTTAATTATTATATGTCATGGTTTTGTGTTCCTTGGGTCCCTTGTGTTGGGAGATCTGTGTACTTCCTTGGCCTGAGAGACTATTTTCTTTCCCAGATTGTGGACGTTTTCAGCAATTATTTCCTCAGAGACACTTTCTATCCCTTTTTGTCTTTCCTTCTGGAACCCCTTTAATGTGAATTTTGTTGCATTTGGATTTGTTACATAGTTCTCATTCTATTCTTTCATTCCTAGAGATCCTTTTTTCTCTTTGTGCCTCAGCTTCTTTGTATTCCTCTTCTCTAATTTCAATTTCATTTAACATCTCGATTACCTCATCTAATCTGCTTTTAAATTCCTCCAATGTTTGTTTCATTTCAGATACTGTATTTTTCAAAGTTTCTGTTTCTTGAAGTCCTTCCTGAGAATCTCAATATTTTTCTATAGCTCTGTGAACATGTTTATGATTTTTATTTAGAAATCTTAATGAAGAAGATTGATGATTTCTGTTTCACTTAGCCATCTTTCTGTTGTTTGAGGGATTTAGGTTTGTACCAGATTCTTTTGCTATTTCATATTTCTAATGATTACTATGGAATAATGTCTTCGTGTAGGCAGCACCCTCTAGCGCCCAGAAGCTCTACTCTTTGGAGCTGTCCAGCACCTAGTGCGATAGTGAGGGTCACAGGCGAGCAGTGCCAGTGACTGCCCAGAGGGAAGAATTCTTTCCTGCTTCCTGGATGTAGTGCCTGCCTCCACTGCCAGGCAGTGGGCCAAGCATGCAGGGAGGAGCCTCTGTGTTCCACTGCTGTAGCTGACATAGTAGGGGCCACCCTCCATCTGTCCTGACATGATTGCCCGGGTAGCAGGTTTGTGAACCAGTGCTGGCCAGGAGGAAGGAGTGGAAGGCTGCATATCATGGTGGGGGCTTTGGGGATGCATTGCCAGCCAGTGGGATGGAGCATATGAAGCTCCTGAAAGTTCCCAACCTTCTTGGCTGAGTGTTCCAGGATGATTTTGACAACCTGTCCTTTCTCCTGAGCATCCAGCTCTGTGTAATCCTTGACCCTTAAGCAGCCCTCTCACTATTAGGAAGTCTTTCAAAGTGCCCACCTTTCTCTTGTCCCAGAGCGGCCAGTTATGGGTACCTGTTTTCCACAAGCAACTGGAATTACAGTCTCACGCAAGTATTCTGCCTGTCTTTGCTTTCCAACCCCACTAATCTCCAGAGCACCATGTAATGTGGGTTTGTGCTCCTGGACCAGATCTCCAGGGTTGAGTGTTAAGCAATCCTGTGCTTCTGCTCCCTCCCTGCTCAGTTTCTCTTCTTCCCGCCTGTGGGCTGGGATAAGGAGATGGCTTTAGTCCCACAGGATCTTGGCTTTGCTACTTTACCCTTTTCTGTGATGTTCTCTTTTCCTCAGATGTATGCTGTTGCAGTCTTTTTTCCAGTCCCTCTGTCAGGGTTAGTTGTATTTGCTCTATTTTTGTGTTATATGTGGTTTTGGTAGTAGGTTTCTGCCTCACTTCTCATGCCACCATCTTTTCTTCTCCCTCCTAACTCATTTAATTCTTACAACCATTCTTCAAAATTATTAGAATTATTACTGTTTTACAATAGAGGCAATTAAGAAATAGAGAAATTTAAGTGATTTGCTCAGGGTGACATAGGTAGTGAGTGGCAGAGCCGAGATTTATACACATGCCATCTGGGTCCAGAGCCAGCCCACACTCTTAACCACTAGATGGAGATGCTTCTCAATATAAGTGAAATTAATTTCAGGAAATGCTATGTACCCTTACTACATGCAGTATACTTAGATATATTCTACAGTATTGTTTTTACTTTTTAAAAAATCTATAATAAAGCCCTAAGTATTAGATCTTTTCTAGAGTCTGCCCAGGGATAGGCCCAATATTTCAGGCATTGCTGTACCTACTCCAGACTGTCTTCTTGTCTAAACAGTCTTTTTAGTCTCTGTTCACACTGACCTCCAGTAACTAGTGGTATAGGAATTCTAGTACAGCTTACCAACTCATTTGAAGGTTTGTCAGGTGTCATTACCATGTAAAAACTATAAGACTTGAGAAATAAAGAATATAGTTAAACTTTTAATCATTTATTTCTTAGTTCTTTTATTTCTTTGATTATATGGATACATAGAACTATATATAGTATCTGCAGTTGGCACTACATGCTTAATTTGACAGATAACTAATCTTCTGTTTTATTTCCCTTCCCTTTTATATTTTAAAATACATATGAAAATGAGATACCATTTGTTTTCCTGTCAAATAAGCAAACCTTTTAATGGTGTTATATTCAGTATTGGTCCAGGAGTGATGGTAGAATTCTTCCCTTAATTACTGGTGGAAATACACATTGGTAAAACTATTTTGGAAAGCATATATCCAGAAGTCTTTAAAGTATTCATTCCTTTGACCCAATGATTCTAATCACGAATCTATCTTAAAAATACAAACTCCAGCACAGAATATTCTTATACACAGGATTTTTATTACAAAGTTTTTTACAATACTAAAAAATTAGAAATAATCTACATGTTCAATAAAAAGATTTTTCATAATCATCTCTACTTCCTCTTCATTAATCATGATTTCTGTTCCTGATACTTACAGAAAGTTCATGACAGTTTGGGAAGATAATTATAGTACATTTAAAGTACAAATTTTAAAAGCAGGACAAAATCATATAAACCTTATACTCTTACTAAAACTGAAAAATAATGAACAGCCATAACATAGAAAAAAGACTGAAAAGAAACATCTGAAAATGTAATAGTGATTGCTATAGATGATAAAAATGCTTTTGTTCATTACCTAGGTTTTTAATACTGAGGAAACATTTCTTTTATAATGAAAAGGTAATCCATTTCATTTTCAAAAGTGTACCTCACAGAAATACGGAGATCTGGAATTTCTAAATGCACGTCTACCAAAATTTTAGTGACGGACAATAGGTTACCATATAGGTAATAGGTAATATGATAGGTTCATAGCCACTTTTGGATTTAGTCTAAGGCTTTTTTTTTTTTTTCAGGCAACAGGGTGAATATTTAATTTACCTTAAATGATGGTTTTTTGTGAAAGGAGGTATTGAAGGAAATATTATTCAGATGTAATAGCTAGCTTCTATAAACCAAATTTTAAGTTCTTACTGACTTACTCTTGTGATTCTCTTGGGTGTCCTCCCAGATAAAAAAGATTTCCATTCCTGTATCCTTTCATACCCAGCTATTTAGGGTAGTAGTAGTGCCACTTCATAGAAACCTTCATTGATTAAATCCTCAAACTTTAAAACAAAGGCATAGTACATTGACTGAATAAATATGCATAGTAGTTTTAAGTATTCTGATAGCTTAGGGAAACTATAAGGCAAACTTTTAATCTGACAGAATGGAATTAAAAAAAATATTTGGAGTTCTTCTGATTATTTTTAGCTTATTTATTGATGAAAAATATATATGTGAGGTGAATGTGGTATCAACAGATACCATGCTCTAAGTACAATGGCCTATCTTCAAAAAATAATATGTTAATAAAAATATTACTTTCTATTTTCAGTGGCTTTCTGGCTGATCAAGCTGCATGCTACATTCAGGCAATACAGTGGATTTTGCACTATTACTACCATGGAGTTCAGTCCTGGAGCTGGTGAGGAATAAAAACAAGCATAAAGTTGTTTTCTTTTATAATGTTTCATTCCAGTATAATCTCATTTGGGGATCTCTTCTTCTTGATTCTGTTTATGGTGCTGTTTTTTAAGAGATACATACAGCCAAATTTAAATGAAATACAGGTATTATCTTTTCTTATATCAAGATGCTTTAAGAAGACCTTCGCACAGCAAAGGTACTACCAGGCCCTAGCAGATGGCCTAAAATAAAAGCTCTTTGTTAAGAATCTCTGTCATGATGAATCGTATGTGACAGTCTTGATAATTGAGTGACGGTTATGTGGTGGTATTCATTATATTCTCTGTGCTTTTGTGTGTTTGAAAAAAATGTTTGTACCCAGAGTAATTATTGAAGAATTGGTTATTTGAATGTTAGACTAGGAGGGATAAGGAAAAAAGGAGAAAGGAATTTTTTGACTTTCTTGGAAATAGTAATGATTTTCTGCTCCAGCAATTTCCATCTACATTTCCAAACAATCCACCAAAATAAAAAAATAAAATAAATATTGATGCAGGGAAAAGTAGAGATTTTTAGGTGACTAGATAGTTTTGTTTTCAGGGAACCTTTGCTAGGCTTTGTTTGAAAGAACTACACAGCAAAAAAAAAAAAGTAAAACAGTGTGGCATCAATTATGATTTCACTTAAGGATAGCCTTTAAAAAAAATTTCACAATTACTAACCTGATTATCAAGGCCTCTGAAAAGCATTCTAATGACAAAAATCCTTGATCTGCTATTTTTAAGAGGGTGTATTTAAGTTAGTTTTGTTTACTACCAGGCATTAAGTCTGGGCACTTGAAAAGCATGTTCTTATACAATCCGCACAGCTATTTAAAATAAGTATTGTTTTCTGCCTTTTACAGATGAGGCTCAGAGGTTAAGCAGCTTCTAAGGTTATATACCTAACAGTCAAGTAAAAACTTGTCTGATTCCAAGTCTATATATTTTCCATTATTCTACATGCCACTCTGCCTCCTAAACTTTCCCATCCTTTTGAAATATGCAATAAATGTGAAATATAAAAACATTTTTTTCATTTTTTGGCATCTTTTGCCAAACATTAAGAAGAACATTGAAGTATTTTTTTAAATTATACATTCAAAGCTTTGTAAAAATATACCTGTAATTAAAGATGGGATGGTATAAAAAACAAAAATAGTTTATGACTGATAAATGGCTTAATCCTTGTCATAAACACAATAATATATATACTAATTCAAAGGTAAAACTTCTTAGAGCTGACTAGTAACAGCCACATGAGCCCTCAGACTTACTGTTCTCTCTGTCCTCCTGAGAGAGGTCCAGGCCCACATGAGCTAACTGAAAGTCTTCTGACTACCTCAATACTTCATTCTAAGAGCCTATTGATTAGAAGATTCATACTCAGCATTTTGGGAACTAAAATATACATAGAACACATACATATCTCCTTTAGTTACATGATACATTCCAATTTTGGAAATGTGAAATTGCACTTTAAAAAGTAAGGAACTAAAACATTTGTTGCCGTCACATGACCTAGATTTTCTAACACTGCTGATCCCTGTATTCAAATACTAGAACATGGGTGATACTTTTTTTTCTTCAGGGTTATTGCTGTGTGTTGTTAAAATAAAATGTGTAGAAGTATATACTTAATATTGACCTGTTCTTTAAAGTTGCCAACTGTTTAAAACTCAATTTTGTTTTATAGGTATTATCCCTACCATTATGCACCTTTCCTATCTGATATACACAACATCAGTACACTCAAAATTCATTTTGAACTAGGAAAACCTTTTAAACCATTTGAACAACTTCTTGCTGTACTTCCAGCAGCTAGCAAAAATTTACTTCCTACATGCTACCAGGTGAGTTCTAATATTAAATGTTTTTATTCCCTTTTTGATACTCAGGAGTTCTTCCTCCAAACCTAGAAACATAGTACCCAAATTTCTTTAATGGCTAAATATGTTTATTTTCAGTTTCCAATTATAGTATTTCTCAAACAAGTCTGCTGAAAAGTAATTCCTTCATTTAAAGGTAACTTTGTTTTAAAAATGCAAACAAACTAATTGTTCAGAGCATAGTTTCTTCATTTTCAGCACTTTAAGCACATACTCAGTTTGTTTCTGCATTAATGAAAGTAAGCTGAAACAGGCAAAATCTGAAGTCATGTACTTTGTCCAAACACTTACAGATTCATTCCTGTTCTCTTTTACCCTCTAACTATTGGGATAGGGATGTTTCTAGTAAGTCATATATCTCAACAGAAGTTTACACTTGGGTTTTAAGAATTTCATCTATCAGATTGTGGAATGAAAAGCTTTTCTATTTTAACATATTTCACATAACAGGAGAAAGACATTTCAGGGGTGATTGAGTCTCCAAAGTTAAACTAAGCCTACAAAGTTTCTGAATGTAAACTACATTTAGTTCTCAAATACCAATCTGTTCTAATTCCATGGTCTGGTCCCAGGAATTAGAGGAGACTCATACAGATACACCCTTTCCTGCTTTAACACTGTCATGCTCCCATCTCCATACTTTGGAAATTTAACCTGTCCTTCATCTGACCTCTGGCCTCCCTTTCTTCTTAACTTCTTTTGTTGCTTTTTCCCTACCTTAAGATACATTAAGATTGATACTCATCCACTCTCTAGACCAGTACAACCATGCAAGTGTTTTAGTCACATCTGTTTTGATCTGTACCAGTGCCATTCTAGTTATTAAATGTTTTGAATATTACTCTGGGAAATAATGCTGTTTTGTTACTTCAAAAAATTTTACATTGTAATCTTCCATATTCATTTCCTAGAAGACATTCTTACGTTTTCTGTATCTACTTCCATTATAAATCACTAATAAAAACATGTCGTATGGACATTTTATCTTTGCTTTTAGTGGTGAAGAGATTTTGGATTTTAAGAGTATTTGCTTTTTGAATTATCTTAGGTACAGTTCTTATATTACTTAATAAAATCAATTGATTAACAAAATCAAATAAATTGTTTAAGGTTAAAAATGGAGGCCCGTTGGTAGCCTTTGAAATGAACTAATGTCTATATAGGAAAACAATTTAGATGGGCCTTGTAGAGTGAAAAGACAAACATAAAAAGAAAAAATTAAAATTCAGAATTAAGATGGTTTTACTACATAACCTCAGTGGAATGGAAAATGATGACTAGCAGTGATATTAGAGTTCTCACAGTTGAAAATCAAAATACAGTAAAAATGTAGTTTTTCTTTGTTTAGAAATTTTAAACTTTAACATGTGAGGAAATATTGTAAATATATCAGCGAAAAGCTATGTTGGTATCAGTTCTTATATTTCTATTATACTGTTTTATCTTTTCACAGCATTTGATGACCAGTGAAAATTCACCAATTCTGGAATATTACCCAACTGATTTTAAAACTGACCTAAACGGGAAACAACAAGAATGGGAAGCTGTGGTACTAATACCTTTTATTGATGAGGTCAGTGCATGAAATAATAGTTATACATATACATATATTCTTTCTTTGCTTATGAAGTATAGGTGATACATCATCTTACAAATATTATATTGGTTTTAGGTAGGTATACCACACAGTGGTTTAACAGTTGCACAGTCCTCACCCCAACTAGTGCAGTTACTATCTATCAGCATAGAAAGATGTTACAGAACCATTGTCTGTGTTCTCCTTGCTGCACTTCCATCCCTGTGACCAACTTATATTATGACTTGAGAATTTTGGTGCACCTTTATCAGCCTTACCCTCCCTACCGACGCACCCCAACCAGCCAATATGGTAACCACCAGTCACTTTTCAGTACTGTGAGTCTACTGTTGTTTTGTTTGTTTTGTTTTGTTTGTTAGATTACACAAATAAGTGAAATCTTATGGTATTTGTCATTCTCTGCCTGGCTTATTCACTTAATGTAATATCCCCTAGGTACATCCATGTTGTCACAAATGGCAAGATTTCTTTTTTAATGACTGAATAATATTCCATTGTGTACATGTACCACATCTTCTTTATCCATTCATCTACTGAAGGACACTTTGCTTCCGTATTTTGGCTATTGTAAGCAATGTCACAATAAACATAGGGGATCATATGTCATTTCAAATCAGAGAGTTTATATCTTCAGGTAAATTCCTACAAGTGGATTAAAGTCATAGGGCATTTCTATTTTTTGTTTTTTTGAGGGACCTCCATTCGGTTTTCCACAGTGGCTGCACAAATTTACATTCCCACCAAGAGTGTAAGAGGGTTCCCTTTCTCCACATACTTGCCAATACTTGTTTTTTTTCTTTTGGATAGTGGCCATTCTAACTGGTGTGAGGTGATGTCTCATTGTGATTTTGATTTGCATTTCCCTGATGATTGGTGATGTGGAGCATCTTTACATGTGCTTGTTGGCCATCTGTATGTTTTCTTTGGAAATATGTTTATTCAGGTCATCTGCTTATTTTTTAATTGGTTTATTTATTTTCATGGTGTTGAGATGTATGAGTTCTTTATATAATTTGAATGTTAACACCTCACCAGATGAATGATTTATGAATATATTTTCCCATACTGTAGGTTGCCTTTTTGTTTGGTGTTGATGTCCTTTGCTGTACAGAAGCTTTTTAGTTTGATGTAGTCCCACTTGCTCATTTTGATTTTGTTTCCCTTCCTGAGGAGATGTATCCAAAAAAACAATTGCTCAAGTTTATATTCAAGAGATCTTTGCCTATGTTTTCTTCTAAGAGTTTTATACTTTCATGTCTTACATTTAGGTCTTTGATCCATTTCACATTACTTTTGTGTATGGAGTTAGACCATAATACAGTTTCATTTGGTTGCATGTAGCTGTCCAGTTTTCCCAGTACCAGTTATTGAAGAGACTTTTTTCCTTTGTGTATTCATGGCTCCTTTATTATATATTAATTGACCATTTATGTGTGGGTTTATTTCTGGGCTCTGTATTCTGTTCCATTGATCTATGGGTCTGTTCTTGTGCCAGTACCACACTGTTTTGATTACTATAGCTTTGTAGCATAGCTTGAAGTTATGGAGTGTAATGCATCAGCTTTGTGTTTCCTTTGCAGGAGCTTTGGCTATTTGGGGTCTTTTGTGGTTCCATATGAATTTTAGGATTATTTGCTCTTGTTTATTGAAAAATGCCATTGGTATTTTGATGGGTTACATTGAATCTGTAAATTGCTTTGGGGAGCATGGCCATTTTGACAATATTAATTCTTCCTATCTATGAGCATGGGATAAATTTCCATTTTTTGTCTCATTGTTAATTTCTATCCTCAGTGTCTTATAGTTTTCAGAGTGCAGGTCTTTCTCCTTGGTTAGGTTTATCATAAGTATTTTATTTTTTTGTTGCAATTATAAATGGAATGTTTTCCTTATCTCTCTTTCTGCTAGTTCATTGTTAATGAATAGGATTACAACAGATTCCTGTATATTAATTTTGTGTCCTGCAACTTTGCTGAATCCAGTTATTAGTGGAGTCTTCAGGGAGATTTCTATGTATAATATCATGTCATCAGGAAATAGTGACAATTTGGATGCCTTTTATCTCTGTATGTTGTCTGATTGCCATGATTAAGATTTAAGTAGTATTTTGCATTAAAGTGAGAGTGGACATCCTTGTCCCGGATCTTACAGGAAAAGCATTTAGCTTTTCACCATTCAATATGATGTTAGCTGTGGGTTTGTCATAAAAGGCCTTTATAATGTTGAGGTATGTACCCTCTGTACTTGTTTTGTTGAGAGATTTTATCATGAATGGATGTTGAATTTTGTCAAATGCTTTTTTATGAAATTATCTATTGAAATGATCATGTGGTGTTTATCGTTATTGTTAAATTGGTGTATGATGTTGATTTACAAATATCGTACTATCCTTGCCTCCCTGGAATAAATCTCAATTGCTCATGATGGATGATGCTTTAGATGTATTTTTGAATTAGGTTTGCTAGTATTTTGTTGAGGATTTCTGCATCTATGTTTATCAGAAAATATTGGCTTGAAATTTTCTTTCTTTGTAGAGTTTTGGTATCAGTATTAGAGTGATGCTGGTCTCATAGAATGAGTTCGGAAGTATGCCCTCTTTTTCTACTTTTTGAAATACATTGAGAGAAATGGGTATTAGTTCTTCTTAAAATGTTTGGTAGATTTCAGCTTTAAAGTGATCTGATCCTGAACTTTTGTCTGTTGGGAATTTTTTGATTACCAATTCAATTTCACTACTAATAATTGCTCTGTTCAGATTTTCGGTTTCTTCCTGGGTCAGTCTTGCAAAATTGTACTTTTCTAGGAATTTGTCCATTTTTTCTAGGTTGTCCATTCTATTGGCATATAATTTTTCATAGAATTCTTTAATAATTTTTTGTATTTCTGTGGTATCTATTCTGATTATTCCTTTTTCATTTCTGATTTTGTTTATTTATGTACTCCTTTTTTCTTGTTAAGTCTGGGTAGGGGTTTGCCTACTTTATTTTCTCAAAGAACAGTTCTTCAATAAAAAAAATTGACTTTTTTAATTTTATTCTTCTCTATATTATTGATTTCTGCTGTGATCTTAATTATGTCCCTCCTTCTACTAACTGTGGGTATCTTGTTCTTTTTCTAGTTTCCTTAATTGTGAGATTAGACTTTATTTGGTGGTGGTCTTATTTCATGAGGTAGGCCTATATTGCTATGTATTTCCCACTCAGTACTGCTTTTGCAGCATCCCACAAATTTGGAACTGTTGTATTTTTGTTTTCATTTCTCTCCATGTATTCTGTGGTTTCTGTGTTGATTTGTTTAAGAGTCCATTGAATATTTGGAAGCATGTTGTTTAGCCTCCNCACAGAAATACGGAGATCTGGAATTTCTAAATGCACGTCTACCAAAATTTTAGTGACGGACAATAGGTTACCATATAGGTAATAGGTAATATGATAGGTTCATAGCCACTTTTGGATTTAGTCTAAGGCTTTTTTTTTTTTTTTCAGGCAACAGGGTGAATATTTAATTTACCTTAAATGATGGTTTTTTGTGAAAGGAGGTATTGAAGGAAATATTATTCAGATGTAATAGCTAGCTTCTATAAACCAAATTTTAAGTTCTTACTGACTTACTCTTGTGATTCTCTTGGGTGTCCTCCCAGATAAAAAAGATTTCCATTCCTGTATCCTTTCATACCCAGCTATTTAGGGTAGTAGTAGTGCCACTTCATAGAAACCTTCATTGATTAAATCCTCAAACTTTAAAACAAAGGCATAGTACATTGACTGAATAAATATGCATAGTAGTTTTAAGTATTCTGATAGCTTAGGGAAACTATAAGGCAAACTTTTAATCTGACAGAATGGAATTAAAAAAAATATTTGGAGTTCTTCTGATTATTTTTAGCTTATTTATTGATGAAAAATATATATGTGAGGTGAATGTGGTATCAACAGATACCATGCTCTAAGTACAATGGCCTATCTTCAAAAAATAATATGTTAATAAAAATATTACTTTCTATTTTCAGTGGCTTTCTGGCTGATCAAGCTGCATGCTACATTCAGGCAATACAGTGGATTTTGCACTATTACTACCATGGAGTTCAGTCCTGGAGCTGGTGAGGAATAAAAACAAGCATAAAGTTGTTTTCTTTTATAATGTTTCATTCCAGTATAATCTCATTTGGGGATCTCTTCTTCTTGATTCTGTTTATGGTGCTGTTTTTTAAGAGATACATACAGCCAAATTTAAATGAAATACAGGTATTATCTTTTCTTATATCAAGATGCTTTAAGAAGACCTTCGCACAGCAAAGGTACTACCAGGCCCTAGCAGATGGCCTAAAATAAAAGCTCTTTGTTAAGAATCTCTGTCATGATGAATCGTATGTGACAGTCTTGATAATTGAGTGACGGTTATGTGGTGGTATTCATTATATTCTCTGTGCTTTTGTGTGTTTGAAAAAAATGTTTGTACCCAGAGTAATTATTGAAGAATTGGTTATTTGAATGTTAGACTAGGAGGGATAAGGAAAAAAGGAGAAAGGAATTTTTTGACTTTCTTGGAAATAGTAATGATTTTCTGCTCCAGCAATTTCCATCTACATTTCCAAACAATCCACCAAAATAAAAAAATAAAATAAATATTGATGCAGGGAAAAGTAGAGATTTTTAGGTGACTAGATAGTTTTGTTTTCAGGGAACCTTTGCTAGGCTTTGTTTGAAAGAACTACACAGCAAAAAAAAAAAAGTAAAACAGTGTGGCATCAATTATGATTTCACTTAAGGATAGCCTTTAAAAAAAATTTCACAATTACTAACCTGATTATCAAGGCCTCTGAAAAGCATTCTAATGACAAAAATCCTTGATCTGCTATTTTTAAGAGGGTGTATTTAAGTTAGTTTTGTTTACTACCAGGCATTAAGTCTGGGCACTTGAAAAGCATGTTCTTATACAATCCGCACAGCTATTTAAAATAAGTATTGTTTTCTGCCTTTTACAGATGAGGCTCAGAGGTTAAGCAGCTTCTAAGGTTATATACCTAACAGTCAAGTAAAAACTTGTCTGATTCCAAGTCTATATATTTTCCATTATTCTACATGCCACTCTGCCTCCTAAACTTTCCCATCCTTTTGAAATATGCAATAAATGTGAAATATAAAAACATTTTTTTCATTTTTTGGCATCTTTTGCCAAACATTAAGAAGAACATTGAAGTATTTTTTTAAATTATACATTCAAAGCTTTGTAAAAATATACCTGTAATTAAAGATGGGATGGTATAAAAAACAAAAATAGTTTATGACTGATAAATGGCTTAATCCTTGTCATAAACACAATAATATATATACTAATTCAAAGGTAAAACTTCTTAGAGCTGACTAGTAACAGCCACATGAGCCCTCAGACTTACTGTTCTCTCTGTCCTCCTGAGAGAGGTCCAGGCCCACATGAGCTAACTGAAAGTCTTCTGACTACCTCAATACTTCATTCTAAGAGCCTATTGATTAGAAGATTCATACTCAGCATTTTGGGAACTAAAATATACATAGAACACATACATATCTCCTTTAGTTACATGATACATTCCAATTTTGGAAATGTGAAATTGCACTTTAAAAAGTAAGGAACTAAAACATTTGTTGCCGTCACATGACCTAGATTTTCTAACACTGCTGATCCCTGTATTCAAATACTAGAACATGGGTGATACTTTTTTTTCTTCAGGGTTATTGCTGTGTGTTGTTAAAATAAAATGTGTAGAAGTATATACTTAATATTGACCTGTTCTTTAAAGTTGCCAACTGTTTAAAACTCAATTTTGTTTTATAGGTATTATCCCTACCATTATGCACCTTTCCTATCTGATATACACAACATCAGTACACTCAAAATTCATTTTGAACTAGGAAAACCTTTTAAACCATTTGAACAACTTCTTGCTGTACTTCCAGCAGCTAGCAAAAATTTACTTCCTACATGCTACCAGGTGAGTTCTAATATTAAATGTTTTTATTCCCTTTTTGATACTCAGGAGTTCTTCCTCCAAACCTAGAAACATAGTACCCAAATTTCTTTAATGGCTAAATATGTTTATTTTCAGTTTCCAATTATAGTATTTCTCAAACAAGTCTGCTGAAAAGTAATTCCTTCATTTAAAGGTAACTTTGTTTTAAAAATGCAAACAAACTAATTGTTCAGAGCATAGTTTCTTCATTTTCAGCACTTTAAGCACATACTCAGTTTGTTTCTGCATTAATGAAAGTAAGCTGAAACAGGCAAAATCTGAAGTCATGTACTTTGTCCAAACACTTACAGATTCATTCCTGTTCTCTTTTACCCTCTAACTATTGGGATAGGGATGTTTCTAGTAAGTCATATATCTCAACAGAAGTTTACACTTGGGTTTTAAGAATTTCATCTATCAGATTGTGGAATGAAAAGCTTTTCTATTTTAACATATTTCACATAACAGGAGAAAGACATTTCAGGGGTGATTGAGTCTCCAAAGTTAAACTAAGCCTACAAAGTTTCTGAATGTAAACTACATTTAGTTCTCAAATACCAATCTGTTCTAATTCCATGGTCTGGTCCCAGGAATTAGAGGAGACTCATACAGATACACCCTTTCCTGCTTTAACACTGTCATGCTCCCATCTCCATACTTTGGAAATTTAACCTGTCCTTCATCTGACCTCTGGCCTCCCTTTCTTCTTAACTTCTTTTGTTGCTTTTTCCCTACCTTAAGATACATTAAGATTGATACTCATCCACTCTCTAGACCAGTACAACCATGCAAGTGTTTTAGTCACATCTGTTTTGATCTGTACCAGTGCCATTCTAGTTATTAAATGTTTTGAATATTACTCTGGGAAATAATGCTGTTTTGTTACTTCAAAAAATTTTACATTGTAATCTTCCATATTCATTTCCTAGAAGACATTCTTACGTTTTCTGTATCTACTTCCATTATAAATCACTAATAAAAACATGTCGTATGGACATTTTATCTTTGCTTTTAGTGGTGAAGAGATTTTGGATTTTAAGAGTATTTGCTTTTTGAATTATCTTAGGTACAGTTCTTATATTACTTAATAAAATCAATTGATTAACAAAATCAAATAAATTGTTTAAGGTTAAAAATGGAGGCCCGTTGGTAGCCTTTGAAATGAACTAATGTCTATATAGGAAAACAATTTAGATGGGCCTTGTAGAGTGAAAAGACAAACATAAAAAGAAAAAATTAAAATTCAGAATTAAGATGGTTTTACTACATAACCTCAGTGGAATGGAAAATGATGACTAGCAGTGATATTAGAGTTCTCACAGTTGAAAATCAAAATACAGTAAAAATGTAGTTTTTCTTTGTTTAGAAATTTTAAACTTTAACATGTGAGGAAATATTGTAAATATATCAGCGAAAAGCTATGTTGGTATCAGTTCTTATATTTCTATTATACTGTTTTATCTTTTCACAGCATTTGATGACCAGTGAAAATTCACCAATTCTGGAATATTACCCAACTGATTTTAAAACTGACCTAAACGGGAAACAACAAGAATGGGAAGCTGTGGTACTAATACCTTTTATTGATGAGGTCAGTGCATGAAATAATAGTTATACATATACATATATTCTTTCTTTGCTTATGAAGTATAGGTGATACATCATCTTACAAATATTATATTGGTTTTAGGTAGGTATACCACACAGTGGTTTAACAGTTGCACAGTCCTCACCCCAACTAGTGCAGTTACTATCTATCAGCATAGAAAGATGTTACAGAACCATTGTCTGTGTTCTCCTTGCTGCACTTCCATCCCTGTGACCAACTTATATTATGACTTGAGAATTTTGGTGCACCTTTATCAGCCTTACCCTCCCTACCGACGCACCCCAACCAGCCAATATGGTAACCACCAGTCACTTTTCAGTACTGTGAGTCTACTGTTGTTTTGTTTGTTTTGTTTTGTTTGTTAGATTACACAAATAAGTGAAATCTTATGGTATTTGTCATTCTCTGCCTGGCTTATTCACTTAATGTAATATCCCCTAGGTACATCCATGTTGTCACAAATGGCAAGATTTCTTTTTTAATGACTGAATAATATTCCATTGTGTACATGTACCACATCTTCTTTATCCATTCATCTACTGAAGGACACTTTGCTTCCGTATTTTGGCTATTGTAAGCAATGTCACAATAAACATAGGGGATCATATGTCATTTCAAATCAGAGAGTTTATATCTTCAGGTAAATTCCTACAAGTGGATTAAAGTCATAGGGCATTTCTATTTTTTGTTTTTTTGAGGGACCTCCATTCGGTTTTCCACAGTGGCTGCACAAATTTACATTCCCACCAAGAGTGTAAGAGGGTTCCCTTTCTCCACATACTTGCCAATACTTGTTTTTTTTCTTTTGGATAGTGGCCATTCTAACTGGTGTGAGGTGATGTCTCATTGTGATTTTGATTTGCATTTCCCTGATGATTGGTGATGTGGAGCATCTTTACATGTGCTTGTTGGCCATCTGTATGTTTTCTTTGGAAATATGTTTATTCAGGTCATCTGCTTATTTTTTAATTGGTTTATTTATTTTCATGGTGTTGAGATGTATGAGTTCTTTATATAATTTGAATGTTAACACCTCACCAGATGAATGATTTATGAATATATTTTCCCATACTGTAGGTTGCCTTTTTGTTTGGTGTTGATGTCCTTTGCTGTACAGAAGCTTTTTAGTTTGATGTAGTCCCACTTGCTCATTTTGATTTTGTTTCCCTTCCTGAGGAGATGTATCCAAAAAAACAATTGCTCAAGTTTATATTCAAGAGATCTTTGCCTATGTTTTCTTCTAAGAGTTTTATACTTTCATGTCTTACATTTAGGTCTTTGATCCATTTCACATTACTTTTGTGTATGGAGTTAGACCATAATACAGTTTCATTTGGTTGCATGTAGCTGTCCAGTTTTCCCAGTACCAGTTATTGAAGAGACTTTTTTCCTTTGTGTATTCATGGCTCCTTTATTATATATTAATTGACCATTTATGTGTGGGTTTATTTCTGGGCTCTGTATTCTGTTCCATTGATCTATGGGTCTGTTCTTGTGCCAGTACCACACTGTTTTGATTACTATAGCTTTGTAGCATAGCTTGAAGTTATGGAGTGTAATGCATCAGCTTTGTGTTTCCTTTGCAGGAGCTTTGGCTATTTGGGGTCTTTTGTGGTTCCATATGAATTTTAGGATTATTTGCTCTTGTTTATTGAAAAATGCCATTGGTATTTTGATGGGTTACATTGAATCTGTAAATTGCTTTGGGGAGCATGGCCATTTTGACAATATTAATTCTTCCTATCTATGAGCATGGGATAAATTTCCATTTTTTGTCTCATTGTTAATTTCTATCCTCAGTGTCTTATAGTTTTCAGAGTGCAGGTCTTTCTCCTTGGTTAGGTTTATCATAAGTATTTTATTTTTTTGTTGCAATTATAAATGGAATGTTTTCCTTATCTCTCTTTCTGCTAGTTCATTGTTAATGAATAGGATTACAACAGATTCCTGTATATTAATTTTGTGTCCTGCAACTTTGCTGAATCCAGTTATTAGTGGAGTCTTCAGGGAGATTTCTATGTATAATATCATGTCATCAGGAAATAGTGACAATTTGGATGCCTTTTATCTCTGTATGTTGTCTGATTGCCATGATTAAGATTTAAGTAGTATTTTGCATTAAAGTGAGAGTGGACATCCTTGTCCCGGATCTTACAGGAAAAGCATTTAGCTTTTCACCATTCAATATGATGTTAGCTGTGGGTTTGTCATAAAAGGCCTTTATAATGTTGAGGTATGTACCCTCTGTACTTGTTTTGTTGAGAGATTTTATCATGAATGGATGTTGAATTTTGTCAAATGCTTTTTTATGAAATTATCTATTGAAATGATCATGTGGTGTTTATCGTTATTGTTAAATTGGTGTATGATGTTGATTTACAAATATCGTACTATCCTTGCCTCCCTGGAATAAATCTCAATTGCTCATGATGGATGATGCTTTAGATGTATTTTTGAATTAGGTTTGCTAGTATTTTGTTGAGGATTTCTGCATCTATGTTTATCAGAAAATATTGGCTTGAAATTTTCTTTCTTTGTAGAGTTTTGGTATCAGTATTAGAGTGATGCTGGTCTCATAGAATGAGTTCGGAAGTATGCCCTCTTTTTCTACTTTTTGAAATACATTGAGAGAAATGGGTATTAGTTCTTCTTAAAATGTTTGGTAGATTTCAGCTTTAAAGTGATCTGATCCTGAACTTTTGTCTGTTGGGAATTTTTTGATTACCAATTCAATTTCACTACTAATAATTGCTCTGTTCAGATTTTCGGTTTCTTCCTGGGTCAGTCTTGCAAAATTGTACTTTTCTAGGAATTTGTCCATTTTTTCTAGGTTGTCCATTCTATTGGCATATAATTTTTCATAGAATTCTTTAATAATTTTTTGTATTTCTGTGGTATCTATTCTGATTATTCCTTTTTCATTTCTGATTTTGTTTATTTATGTACTCCTTTTTTCTTGTTAAGTCTGGGTAGGGGTTTGCCTACTTTATTTTCTCAAAGAACAGTTCTTCAATAAAAAAAATTGACTTTTTTAATTTTATTCTTCTCTATATTATTGATTTCTGCTGTGATCTTAATTATGTCCCTCCTTCTACTAACTGTGGGTATCTTGTTCTTTTTCTAGTTTCCTTAATTGTGAGATTAGACTTTATTTGGTAGTGGTCTTATTTCATGAGGTAGGCCTATATTGCTATGTATTTCCCACTCAGTACTGCTTTTGCAGCATCCCACAAATTTGGAACTGTTGTATTTTTGTTTTCATTTCTCTCCATGTATTCTGTGGTTTCTGTGTTGATTTGTTTAAGAGTCCATTGAATATTTGGAAGCATGTTGTTTAGCCTCCATATATTAATGGGCATTTTTGTTTTTATTGTGTAATTTATTTCTAGTTTCATACCATTATGGTCTGAGCAGTTGCTTGATACAATTTCAGTCTTTTCAAATTTATTGAGACTTTTCTTGTGGCCAAGTATGTGATCTCTTCTGGGGAATGTTCCATGTTCACTTGAGAAAAATGTGTATCCCGCTGCTTTTGGATGGAATGGTCGGTACATATATGTTAAGTCCATCTGATCTAATGTATTGTTTAGTGCCACTGATTCCTTATTCATTTTCTGTGTGAATAATCTGTCCATTGATGTAAGTGGGGTGTTAACGTCTCTTGATATGAATGAGATCCTGTCTATCTATTTCCCCTTGTAATTCTGTTAGTATTTGTTTTACATATTTAGGTGCTTCTATGTTGGGATCATAGATATTTATAATGCTTATATCCTCTTATTGGACTGATGCCTTTATCATTATGGAACATTCTTGTATGTCTCTTGTTATTTTCTTTGTTTTGAAGTCTATTTTGTCTAAGTACACTGCACCTGCTCTTTCTCCCTATTATTTACAAGAAACATTGTTTTCCATCCCTTCACTTTCAATATGTGTATGTCTTTGGGTCTGAAATGAGTCTCTTGTGAAAAGCATACAGATGGATCTTGTTTCTTTACCCACTCTGCCACTTATGTCTTTCATAGGTGTATTCAGACGATTTACATTTAAGGTAAAGATACAAATGTATTTATTGCCATTTTATTAATTACTTTCTGGTTGCTTTTGTAGTTCCTCTCTGTTCCTTTCTTTCTCATACTGCTCTCTTACTATTTGATGGTTTTCTTTTCTTTCTTTCTTTCTTTTTTTAATTTTAATTTTTTTTGGTGTCATTAATATACACTTATATGAACAACATTGTGGTTACTAGATTCCCCGCATTACCAAATCTCCACCACATACCCCATTACAGTCACTGCCCATCAGTGTACTATGCTACTATAGAATCACTACTTGTCTACTCTGTGCTATACTGCCTTCCCCGTGCCCATCCCAATACATTATGTGTGCTAATCATAATGCTGCTTTTTTCCCCTTATCCCTCCTTCCCACCCATCCTCCCCACTCCCTTTCCCTTTGGTAACTGTTAGTCCATTCTTGGGTTCTGGGAGTCTTCTGCAGTTTTGTTCCTTCAGTTTTTACTTTGTTCTTATGCTCCACAGATGAGTGAAATCAGTTGGTACTTGTCTTTCTCCACCTGGCTTCTTTCACTGAGCATAATACCCTCTCGCTCCATCCATGTTGTTGCAAATGGTAGGATTTGTTTTCTTCTTATGGCTGAATAATATTCCATTGTATATATGTACCACATCTTCTTTATCCATTCGTCTACTGATGGACGCTTAGGGTGCTTCCATTTCTTGAATATTGTAAATAGTGCTGTGATGAACATGGAGGTGCATATGTCTTTTTGAAACTGGGCTCCTGCATTCTTAGGGTAAATTCCTGGGAGTGGAAGTCCTGGGTCAAATGGTACTTCTATTTTTAGGTTTTGGAAGAACCTCCATATTGCTTACCACAAAGGTTGAACTAATTTACATTCCCACTAACAGTGTAGGAGGGTTCCCCTTTCTTCACAACCTCGCCAACATTTGCTGTTGTCT